GCTCAGATAAAGCAACGGAAGATTCCATTTAGGATCGAAAACTCGCGACTGATACCAGATGAGTTTGTATATTCTGAATAGTTCAATCGTACATCATATACATGAATGCATATATACCAAAGCCTAAGCATACGTAAGGATAGACACTAGAGAAGCAGTCATAAACTAGGACACAAACACACAGTCCTAATAAAATTAATATATATATATATATATATATATATATATATATATATAATGAAAATTTTAGTGTATGTATTAGTCGGCATCGGTACCGGTACCTTTTGTACAGAGTATAACTTTGAAATTTTTTTATATATACTTTTAATAGTATCTGATATTGACATGGTGAACTTCTTGATATTTTATATATTATTTGTATATTTTCATAAATGCATTCAAAATTTACTTGAAATGCTTAAAAAGAAAAAAGACAAAGATAATGGAGGCATCACAAATGTTTGTTGGTTATGATTATCCAAAACCCACTTTAAGGTTTTAGCTTAATCTCAAGGGTTAGTTCAATCATGGTGAGATTGAATTCTTCTAACATTTACATCAAATTTGTCATTCTCAAACTAAGAAAAAAATAAAGAAAAGAATTCCATAAAGTAACAACAGACCAAACTTTAACTATAAGGAACCATAAATTAATAGACATCAATTAATTAACATCTAATCTAATTATTGAAAAACCAGATACAGCCAACGGCCACTGCTGAAGGGCATTCTTGTAATTTCGTACTCACTATCAAATAGCTTCAGCAAGCGTTGTTGCTGTCTTGCTGACGCCGACCTGCGAGCGGTAAAATACTGAAATCTGAAGAAAAAGCAAAGAAAAAAAAGATGGCAGCCAAAATTAGATTAGAAGATACCTCTTTCTCCTCCTTTCTCCTTGCTTTTCTCCCTGTGTTTTAGTTTCAGCTCAGTTTGCTGTATTTTTCAAGGAAGATAACTCTGAGTGGCATCTCCATTATTGTTTTCTTAGCTTCTACATAACCATTTTACATATTTCCTCTTTCTTGATATTGGTACGTTAATGATAGAGGTGTCTGAATCTGCTGTGTGGGTTTTCTTGAGAGTAAGTGATCCCCCATTGCCGGAAAAGGTGGGATGGAAAGTGGGTCGAGCTCAGGTATGGGGGAGAAGGTGGATAGGCGAAAGGGTCAGAGAAAACCGGAAAAGATTGAGCCTTTTGTACCTAGACAAGGTTATGACCCGAGAGACTTGAAATCTTGGGCCAAAAGGACTGGTTTTGTGTCCACCTTCTCTGGGGAGACCGACACGGCAAGTCTGAGCGGGAGAGATTTCAGTGGGAGGAATCTGAACGTGGTGGCGAATGGGAATAGTAATAGTAATGTGGGGTTTGGCTTGGAGAGAGGGTTTGACAAGACTGAGTCTGTGTCTCCAAAGATTGAGCTTGACCCCATTTTAGGGAGGACTAGGAATAGAGGGGTTGAGATTGAGCCTGAGATGAGGCCTGCGGATAGGATAGCTAATAATGGGCGTGATGGGGGTTTGAGAAATGAGAATATGAGGGGTGAGAATGAGAGGAGGAAAGGTGAACTTGACAAAAACTTAAGGGTTCCAAATGAGGAGACTAAAGATGCTCTGAATGGTATTGCAAGTCATAACTCCAATGGTAATGAACATGTAGTCCAGCCAGCTACTTCAGCCATAGATCCAAAGAAAGAAGATGGAAATGTGGATTATGCAATGGAGATTCCTGATGGGGAGGATCCATCTTCTGGAGGATGGCTTCAGTCCCCAAGGATTAAGTGTGGACTAAGAGAAAATCCGGGTTATGGTCAGTATAAATGTTTGTTTCTTGAAGTCATGATTTTTTTTGCTTTTTCTCATTCTGAAGTTTCATATATTTCACAGTTTCACCCCTCTCCTACCTTATAATGCACATTCAGTAATTCATTAGAAATGTGATAATCCCTTGACATATGCAGTGTGGAGGAGAATTATATGCATAGTGTATATATTTGATTGTATACCCCTTGTACTTTGAACCACTTATATTCATGGTCTTTATACCGCAGTGGCACTTATCTACTATGGCTTGCAGCACTTTCTGTCGTTGGTTGGCTCGATTATTTTTATCCCGTTGATCACTGTACCTGCAATGGGTGGAACTGATGTAAGGGATTTTGTGCTCCAAACTCGTGCCCCCTTGTGTTTTCAAAATTGTGTAGTTCTTGAAATTCTCATGTCTTTCTTTTCAAATGACACAGAAAGATACTGCTACCGTAATTTCCACAATGTTGCTAGTAACTGGCCTTACTACAGTGTTGCACTCATATTTTGGTACTCGGCTGCCATTGGTTCAAGGGAGTTCATTTGTGTTTTTGGCACCTGCATTGGTGATCATAAATTCTGAGGAGTACCGAAACCTTGCTGAAAATGTACGCTTAATGATTTGTGTTGTCATGTTATATTGTATCTTTTGGATGAATACTTTATAATGTCTGTTTGTTTCAGAAATTTAGGCACATAATGAGGGAGTTACAAGGAGCTATAATAGTTGGTTCAATATTCCAAAGCATCTTCGGTTTCAGTGGCTTGATGTCTCTTTTTCTAAGGTAAGTTTAAATTTCTAAAAATACCATTTTTTTTTTTTTTGGAATTACTTTGGCATATTTGAAATTCGATAACATCATATTGCAGGTTGATAAATCCTGTTGTGGTTGCTCCGACAATTGCAGCAGTGGGTTTATCTTTTTTTAGCTATGGCTTTCCGCAAGCTGGTAGCTGCGTAGAAATTAGTCTCCCCGAGATAATACTAGCCCTCGCTTTTACACTGGTGAGCAACTTTTAACAGAGTTTAGACTTGTAATTTGCTTAGCAATCAATTTGTAGCTTTTAAGTGTATATCTTGTTATTCTATCTGCCTTTTGGTTCGTTCGATGTTGAGTTCTACTTTTTTTCTTGCAGTACCTTCGGAAAATATCAATTTTTGGACATAGAGTGTTTCGAATCTATGCGGTAAGAGTCTTGTGCTCTTTTCTTGCAGTACCTTAGAAAAGATGTTAAATAGCAACAACATTAAACGCATTGGATGTAATACTGAATTTTCTTTCTATTAGCTCCCTGTTTGGTAAAATAGTTAGCATATAGGCCAATTTTGGCTTATTTGACCACTATTAGCTCTGACTTGGTTAAAAAATCAATATAAGTGTTTGATTAATTAGCTTTTTGTAACTCCAAAATGCTAAAATTCAAAAAGTTACTCAAAGCAACTTTTTCAATTAGCTTTTTGCGCAAAGAAATTTACCAAACAGCTATCAGCTAACAGCTAATTTACACCAAACACCTTTCTACAATCAGCTAATGTTATCAACTAGTTATACCCTCTAATTAACCCAATCAACTAACAGCTATCAACTAACAGCCATTATTTACCAAACATGGAATCTGTATCAGAAATTATTTAGTTTTAATTTTTCATATTTTCTCCCAAAAACTTTCTGCAGGTTCCATTGAGTGTCGTAATGACATGGGCATATGCATTCTTCTTGACGGCTGGTGGGGCATATAACTATAAGGGCTGCAGCTCTGACATACCGAGTTCCAATATCCTTATCAATGCATGCAGAAAGCATGCATATACAATGCAGCATTGCAGGACCGACGTTTCTAATGCTATGAGAACTGCTGCGTGGGTCAGAATCCCTTATCCGTTGCAGTGGGGCATGCCTATCTTCCGGCTTAGGACATCGGTCATTATGATAATTGTGTCGCTAGTTGCTTCTGTTGACTCGGTAAGTGATCAGAATTCAGAAAACGATATTCTATTTTTGGAGTTTGTATGAATTGCGTTTGAGTTTCAAACTGAAGCAGAGTCGTGGTTTAACAGGTTGGTACTTATCATTCTGCATCTTTGAGAATGAATCTGAAACCTCCGACTCCAGGTATTGTAAGCAGAGGGATCGGTTTAGAGGGGTTTTGTAGTATACTGGCTGGACTCTGGGGAACGGGTTCTGCATCAACAACATTGACCGAGAATGTGCACACGATTGATGTCACCAAGGTAGCGAGCCGAAGGGCTCTAGAACTCGGATCGGTTTTCTTGATCCTCTTCTCTTTTGTGGGTATGCATGTTAAACCATCTTTCTTGAAAACGAGAAAATTACCCAGAAAGGCTATGTTACCCAGATTCTTGTTGTGTTTGATAGGGAAAGTGGGGGCTATTCTTGCTTCTATACCTCTGGCATTGGCTGCTGCGGTGCTATGCTTCGTATGGGCTCTGATTGTTGCTTTGGGTTTGTCGACATTGCAATATACCCCCCAAACTGCAAGTTTCAGAAACATTATGATTGTCGGTGTTTCTTTGTTCCTTGGTTTCTCCATCCCAGCTTACTTTCAGCAGTATCAGCCCGAGTCGAGCTTAATTTTGCCTGGCTATCTCATTCCTTATGCTGCAGCATCAAATGGACCAGTTCACTCGGGAAATGCACAAGTTAGTAATTATATTACTCTGTATTATAAGGCCATGAGCTAGACTAGCTAATTGATTGGATTCAGTCTTTTAGTGTGGTTTAGCCTATGTGCATTATAGCCTAGTTTTTGCCATTTGCAACTAACGTCTTTTTCTCTATGATAACTGTTGCTAGTTCAATTTTGCGCTAAACGCACTCATGTCCATGAACATGGTGGTGACGCTCTTGGTGGCATTCGTACTAGACAACACTGTCCCGGGCACCAGGCAAGAGCGAGGTGTGTACATATGGTCAAATACAGAAGATATAGCAGCAGATCCGTCTTCCTTTTCAGACTATTCACTACCAAGTAAATTCGGTAGGTGTTTCCGTTGGGCAAAATGCTTAGGTTTATGAGTGTTAAGTGTGGCTATAAAAACATACTTCTACTTGAACCATAGCCAGTAGGCAGCGCAGTTAGAACAGATAATAGATGAATACGAATCTTCATTCCCTTACACAAAACCACTTATCTCACCAAGAAATGGTATCATTTTGTATCTTTACAAGCAAGTGTAATACAGAAAATGCAGAAAATTGCATATTTTTGCATCAATGGTCAATTGATTCTTGCAAGATATACACTCTCTTAGAGGATTTCATGTACAGTAAAGTTAGCTGCTTTCTACATTCTCTAATGTTTGGCCATTGGCAAGTGAAAGAATCTTAATTCTTATGATGGAAGTGCTGATCTCTTGTTTTCCCACTCGTGGATTAGAGAACGCAGATTGTGGTTAGGTGTAAGAAGCTTGTGTTTGAGTTCCAAATTTGTCATGGGCGACATAGAACAACCGGTTCTCAGCCATTCTTCTATGGCTTCTAGCTCATAAGAGAATCCATCTGCTGCGATGTGAGGGTTCTTCATGATATCCTGTTCCAATGAATGAATAAGAGCAGTTATAATCTAAGATTGGGTTAAGGTCACTCAACTGAAGCTCTAAACGCCATCAAAGTGGACCGAACATGTGTTATAATCTAAGATTGGGCCAAGGAAAGTTGTGATGAATTAGAAACCTGGAATATGGGGCAGAAGAAAAGACTAGGAACATCTTCAGAGTCTTCTTCTTCCACTTTCACATCACTTTGATCTTCCTGTGCACATTCTCCACCAGCCACTACTTCATCAGCTTTCTTCTTCACCTTATTCATATCTCTGGCCACCATTGCCATGGTCAATTCCTTGCCCAGATTTTCTTGATTGCTCAGACATCTTCTTGCTATATTCCCAAGCTCCACTGCTAAATCCAAAGGCCATTCTCCACCCACCTGATCCAGCACCCCAATGAGGGCAGCCTCTTCAACCAACCCTGCCCAGTTCCTCCCTGTGAGAAGCTGCACTACTAAGTTCCCGAAACCCCTAACATCTGCTCTGCTACTTGGCACATCGTAACACGGGGAAGGCCTCAAACCATGGATTTTTGCCACATTGTTTCGATCAAGCAGGATGCTTGAGGGGCTAAGCTTGCCGTGAAACATTGGTCTCGGTTTGGCTTGATGAAGGAAGGACAGGCCTGCACAAACCTCGGCTGCAATATGTATACTTGCATGCCAGTTTAGAGGCTCGTTTCTTCTTTTAGAATTTCTGTTGGTTGAGAAGAGAGTGTCTCTCAAGCAGCCATTGCGCATGTACTCGAACACTATGCACTTCAGCTCAGAACAGAACCCTATCATGGATACTATATGAGGATGCCTTATGCTACTGAGAAGCTTCACCTGAAACAAAAATGGTGAAAGTTCAGTATTACTGTGTTAAGAGTCCCACATTGAAAATATAAGAAAGAATAGTCATGAGTTTGACTATCTAATTGATTGGATTCAGTCTTTTAGTATGGTTTGGCCTGATTATAACATGGTATCAGAGCCTGTTGGTCCACCTGATGTTGGAAGGTTTCTTCGGATAATGAAGTGCTTTTATGGTACAACTTGATTGCAACCCTCTCAGAATTCAAGCAACCTTTGTACACATTTGTCCAATTGCCTCCACATTTTAGCCTCTGTCGTTCTGAGAATTCGTTCGTAGCAGCCCTTATTTCTGCAGCACTAAACTGCCTGCAACAAAAGCTCGGCTCACCTAACCTTTTAGCCTCTCCTATTGCATCTTTTTCTTTGCAGAACTCAATCCTACGTCGCAACACATCTCTTTGCCTTCTCAGATTCTCGATTCCCTGAACCATCTGAGTTCTTGTTCTCACCGCCCTCTCCAGCTGGATCTCAGCATGCGATTTTTCCTGAGAGGACAACTGAACCTTGCTTGCGAGCTCACGTTGCAGTTCCAGAATCGAGTTCAGCTTAGCTCTTTTCTCCTCGACTTCGGTCTGCAGTTCATATAACTCCTCCTTTGCAGAGTCTAGCTCTTCCTCCAGATGAGCCCTTTTCGCCATTTCTTCGTTTATGCAGGCTTCAAGATCCTCAGCCTAGGGACCGTAAAATGTTGTTCAGTCTTCAAGATCCTAAACCAAATGGAACTCTTAAGTTTTAACATTTGGAAGCTCAAACTTACCCGGCTTGCACACAATCTGATAGCCCATTCAGCCTTGGCTTGTCTCTCAACAATGGCTTTTGCTTCTTTTTTGTTTAGCTGAACCACTTGCTGGACCTCCCTTATTTTTGCTTTCAAAGCTTCAATCCTTTCTTTTGTGGTCTAACATTATGCAGAAGTCATGAGTTAGAAGTATAAGCAGAAATGTTTTCTGGACAGGAAAAACTAACCAAAAAAAAAAACTGACCATATTTTCTGGCATAGTTGGTTCCTTGACACAATCTTCTAAAGGGTCATTTGCTGCATCACAATCTGTTTTCGAAGATGACAATTGACTGAGATAGAGTTCAATCTCACTTTGATTCTTCTCCCACTGATCAGCTAAGCCATTGCTCACTGATGAAGATGAAGAAGAAGAAGGTGAATCACAAGACCTTTTCTCTTTATCTGCAATTTCTGGGAGCATTATTCTTTCTAACAGAACTTTAAAACCATGCTTCTTCTTTTTCTTTTCTCTAGCCCTTCCAATCACCCCTCCTACCTCATCCTTTATCACACTTTCACCATTCTCTTCTATTAGGAAAACCAGTTTCCCTCCAAACACTACAAATAACTCACAGAAATCCGGTTTCTGGTTATGAATGTGAAACAATCCCCTTAATGCACTTCTGGATTTCCTAAACAACAACATGAATCAAGAAATGAAAAGAGGGAGAGAGACATAAATAAACAAGAAACATGGGAAAGTGCAGGCATACCATAATAAAGGTTTCATGAATGTTAAGGACAATACTAGTTTTGTTATCTGGAGACTAGAGATCAAATCCACCATGATCTTTTCAATGGATCCATCATGTCTCTGGATCTTTAGAATTTCAGCTTTAACCTATCAAGATAACAAAATTGAAGAAAAAGAAGAAGAAGAAGTGTATAGTCTATTTTAGCTAGTGGTTAAAAGCTTATCTACAAGGAAACAAACCTTGCCACAAAAAGCTATGTAATTGGCTAGAATCTTATCAGTTTTTGCTTCCTCATACTTGTCAAGATCTTTCAATTTCTCCTCATTGACAGAGCTAGAAGGCAGTCTCCCAACTAAACCAGAGAGAACAAATACATGTCAGTTGTCACCCTTCTCAAGATCATCAACCCAGAACCCAAAAAAAAAAAAAAAAAAAAAAGAAGAGGGAAGACTATAATAATGGAGTCAATAAATGATTTTTGGAATTTACTTGGAGTATACACATAATCTCTGCAAATAGTATTAGCAGCATAGAGAATGAGTATGGTGGTTGATTGGGAGGAGCAGTTTCTGAGCACCCACTCTAAGCTCTGAAAACCATCATGCACATCTTCCCCAATGCCCACATAAACTCTCTCTTCTTTCTGACTCTCCTCCATACACTGTCTCTTTCCTCAAGCTGGGCTTCAGCAATGATGGAGAAGGGAAAACCATAAATGTTCTTGAAACAGCATGTGATTGCTGTACACAAAAAAAAACAATGAATTGAAAGTGACCCGGCAAGGAGGGGGAGAAGATAATTTGTTTGAACTCCCAAATAGTTGTGGCCGTGATGAATGGTGTTCCTTTGGGAATGTGGAAAAGAACATGCAATGCAATGAAAAGAAGGGAATTGGAAAAAAGAAAAAAGAAAAAAAAAAAAGGTAAGTCTGCCTTTTTGACAATGGGACTTCACAAATTTTCAAAAAGGAACTTTGGAGGATTTAATTTGCTTGGCATTAGGCGTGTTGTTTGTATATGTTCTCTTATTGGAGTTTTAGATTCTTGTGAAATTAGAATCACGGGTTTAGCTCAATGATTTAGTAGTCAGTATATTTAGGATAAGAGATTAAGATTCGAATCGGGGGTATTTGGAAGAGGAGACTAAGATTCGAACCGGTGACAGTGTGGGGATTATGAACAGCTCCTTTATGTGCACCATTTGATCATGTCTGCTAAGTCATTGAGTCACCGTGATTTACATCCTCTCAAACGCTATGTCGAGCTAGGGTGTGAGGACCTTGGAGTTGGGGATTCAACCTTTTGGGAGAAGAAGATTCTTGTGAAATGCTCCGTAATAACTTGTGGAACCTTATAAATATAAGATTGTACCAAAAAAAAAAAAAATTATGTTATACTAATACTAAATATATACTCCGCAATTTTTATTTATTTATTTATCAAATAGAACACAACACTCAAAAAAAAAAAAAAAAAAAAAAAAAAAAAAAAAAAAGACTCAAGATTTTGCTACCAAAACCCCTCTAGGTGGAGGAATGCCATCTCTGTCCTCTATAAGAATAGGAATGAATAATACAAGCAGATTACCTACTCTTTAATTATTGTGTTTTTGACTTCACTAAATATAATAAATTTATATTTTAAAAGTGGTGTTGTTTTTATAATTGTATTTATATTTTGACTTTTTAAAAAGTAATAATGTAATTGTGAATAAAATTACTCCACATGTTATCTAAATTATTCATTAAAATTTTAATTAAAAGAAATGTGTTTCTTATATTTGATGGTACCACTTGATTATCAACTTGATAGTATTTGAATAAATGGTTGGATTAAACCATAAGTCAAAACTCATAATCATGGAAGACTGACTTGGCTTCGTTCTGCCACAAAATGCCGATGAAATTATTCAACCCTCTTCTCACTCTCACACACACACTCTCTCTCCTCCCCACCCCCCATCCCCCATCCCCCAAGGCAATGTAACAAACCCACTAACTCATCAATTGAAATAAACAAAGCTAGGGTAGTAGGGTGTGTTTGGTTTACACATGAAAATCAGAATCGGAATCAAAATCAGAATTGGAATCAAATATTTAATAATGGTATAGTTTTGATGAAAGTATTTTACATATTTGGTAGTAGGATGGAATTAGAATAATTAAGGGTAGTGATCTGGATAACTTCGAATGGTATATGATTTGCCTAGCTTAAGGGTAATGATATGGATAACTTCCATTTTTTTTTTTTTTACTAGTTGTTTTAATTCTTTTAATCGTTATACTATATCTTTTAACTTTTAAAAAAGTTCAAGTTAAAGTTGGCCAAAGAGTTAGGGTCTAAATTTTTTGGTTCGCAAGCCAACCTGCGAGTTAACAATACTTTATATATCTAAATCTAAAATAAAAACATAATAAGCTTCAATCCAAGTTATGTCCTTGGTTTTATGTCCGTTTTTTCTGTTAACTTTTTTTGTACCTTATGCTATAAATGTTGTACTACATAATTATTTGGACAAAAATATCCCTGCCGTTATAACTTATGTTATCTTTCACATTGTTATTACCATGCACATGCATACACAATATCTTTTTCTTATATTCTTCAATTAGTAAGGTTGATTTTATTTAGATTTAATTAAATGTTACCATAGTTATATTTAGTAATATATTATTTCTATAATTCTTACTTCATTAATATTAATATGAATTCTACAATTATATATATATATATATATATATATATATATATATATATATATATATATATATATAGGGTCACGTTTAGGTGCGAATAAGTGCTAAAGAGAGAAATGCGAACCAATCAGCACGTGCCATGTGTCAGCATTCATTGATCGGGTGCATCTATTTTCACATACAAGTGCACCTACTTTCGCCTGCAAGTGCATGTAGTTTTTGCCTGCATTTATTGATCGGGTGCACCTACTTTTACCAACAAATGCACCTACTTTCGCCTGCAAGTGCATGTAACTTTACCTTATTAACATTCATTGATATGAGTTCGTTCTGTTTGGCATCGTCTTTGTTCTTGCGGGTAGTAATACACTGAAAACCACCCGCAAACATTCATGCACCTAGGTGCAACTACTTATAACTATAGGTGCACTTAGTATTGATGCTCAGTGTAAATTTTACTTGCACCTATAATACATTTTACATGCACTTGTAATGCATTTTACTTGCACTTCGATGTTCAATTATTTACGAAAATGTCACCGCGTATTTTTTTTAAAAAGGGGACAGGGACTTCACCTAGTGATCTCTTTCTACGGAAATGCGCTTTCGGAATAGCAGATGAATTGAGCAGAGAATTTGAGAAAAGTCAGTGTTTCTCATCCATTAGATCTAGACACGTGGACGGATATCAGGCATTCGCATATTCGCACCAGAGTGCAATTCTCTCTCTCTCTCTCTCTCTCTCTCTCTCTCTCTCTCTCTCTCTATATATATATATATATATATATATATATATATATATATATATATATATATATATATATATATATATATATATATATATTGTGTGTGTGTGAAGAATCTAATAATATTCATGTCAAATTATCATAATATAAAATAATACTATAATATTTTTTTTTAAAATTGAACTGCGAGCTAGCCCGCGAATCTGCATGAGGTGTGCTAGGATTGAAGAATTCTAGCACACGAATTATCCTACAATGAAACACAAAAGTTAGGCAAATTATATCGTGCATCAGGGCGCACAATGGAGTTTATGTATATTATGTTAAGAGTTTATATGTATTGTGTTAAGAGTTCATGTGTATTATGTTAAGAGTTTATGTGTATTATGTATTATGTTAGATTATGTATATTATGTTTGGAGTTTATGTGTATTCTACTATAAAATTATGTACATACGAAACAGAGGATTTTTAGGATGCACAATGTATTGTGAGTCCTGGTGCACGATATAACAACTACAAAAATTACATGCAACCCATAGTGGGGTGGACCAGCCCACATTGACACCTCTAGTTAGAATATAATTTTAGTTCTTAGAGCAACAAAACCATTAAGCTACATTGAGTTTACTTTTTTTTTTTTTTTAAAGCCATCATATGATTGTATTAATGAATCAAAGTTGTAATAGAGTCAGGTGAGATAGAATCCTAATACATAAAATTATCCTGAGTAAAAACTAACAAAGTTAGAATATGAGCATGTAAATTAACTTGGCTAGAAACATAATTTAACGAGCAAAAATTAAAAAGAGACATAAGTGTCTTGCATTGAACCACCACGACCCCAACATAGGATAAGATAGATGTTGTTTCCTGCCGAAGAGCACTTCGTAACACCACGTAATCTGTGAGTAGACTCACCGATGTGACATTGAGTTTACTTAGTATATGAATAATTCAATAATTCAATAATTCAACAAAACCATTAAGCTATCTTTATTCTTTATAATCTCTTCCTTTTCAGTATAAAAACTTTGAGGTAATGATATTTTTTGTTGCAATTCTAAACTAGATTTTTGAACTAGCAAGAGAAACTTAACAAATACATCAAATTCAATTGGATTTTGGAAACTAAGGTGAACTTCTTTCAGTTCTTGAATACTAACGATTAACGAATCAGTGTAGTATGCTATCCTTTCAGTGACATGTTATTTAATTTCTTTTCAAACATATGGTAGTTTCATTTCAGCAAAGTAAAATATCATTTCAATTCAACTACATTTTTATTTGACAATATATACTCATTATGCAAAATATGTTATCCAATTTTATTTTATACATACTGTAGTTTTATTTCAACACAATTAAAGTATCATTTCAATTTAATTATAGTTCCATTTGATAATATAAACATAATATGTGAGACAAATTATTTAGTTTCATTTTAAATAGATACATTATAGTTACCAGGACTATGTGGTCTAATGGTATCTGAGTTGGACTTCCAATTGGAAGATTATGAGTTCAAGCCTTAGTGGAGGCGTTATTGGTTCTTTGTGTTTTAGTAGGTTGAGAAAGTATATGAATAGATACTACAATGTAATAGAACCAGTAGCTTTCACAAAAAAAAAAAAAAAAAAAAAGATACATTGTAGTTTATCTTGTTCTGAACGGCGGCGTTTTTAGACCATAGTCCACACAACTGTGTGGACCATGGTTCACTATATAAAAATTGTTATCGTGTTAGCACAGCCTTTAAAAAAAAATTTAAAAAGGTAAAATAAGGACTAAACCAAAAAACGCTACGGCCCAAGCTTGAAAACTGCATATTGCGGGCTTCATATATTATACCAAGGGAAAAGCCCATACTATTGGTCACACAGATATTGGGCTTTAACATTTTGAACAAAATTTTAAAAATAAAAAATAAACGAGGAGCATATGGTAAAGAAAAATTATGAGACGTTTTAAAAATTGTTACAGCCCAAATAACATCATTATCCTTGTCACCAAATAAAATCTACGGAATTCCGTCGCAGCTTCTTGTAAAGTGGGGCCGCCAATAATATGATGAATCCTAATTCTGTCTGTCTCCTGAACCTGACAGAGGATCCTATCCTAGATTAAGTTTTAATAATGTATATTCTTATAATAATAATAAGAAAAATATATATATCAAAGTTTAGCATGATGTATAATAGTTTATAATTTTTATATTAATTAATAATTTATAAATTAATTAATTTTTTCACGAATTAATCAAATGCAATTGTTTTAAGTAACATAAAATTTACTTTAGGTGAGATTTATCAAAAAAGAATGACAATTATTTTACCTCAGTTAATTTGTAATATTCAAATTTTATTTAAGATGAATACTAATAGCTTATAAGTTATAAGCAAAACACTAAAACAGCTCACATAAGTGGGTTTGGGTTTGGTTTATAAGACATTAAACTTACCCCAAAGACTGAATCCCCAACTTTAAGGACCACCACACTT